CTTTTGGGCCAAAAACCTGGGGGGCCTTCCCCTGCCCCCCGGGCCCCGGCGGTTCCAAAGCATGCGGGGAACACCTCGTCGCCCCTCAATGGCTATGAGCGAGTCCACGTAGTAGTTGCTGAGGGTGCCACTGGAGGACATTTTGCGGCGCCGTGCGCTCCCACCCAAGGTTACACTGCCCGCCGCGGCGCCGCTCCCCGCCGGCGCCCTCGCCGCCGACTAGTTCGCAGGCTGCAGCCTCCACCATTGGTCGCGCGGCCCACGTGATCATATTTACCAATACCGGGAGTAAATCAGTCCGCTAAACCGGGGGCTGCTGTGATTAAAAAAAAAATCATCATCAACACAAGCGCCGCAATTAGAGCCTGCGGGTCCCGGCCGGTGCGCCGGACTGGGCCCCACCGAGCCCGGCCAGCCCTCGGACTGCGGGGACCACACGCCTGGCTGCGGCCGGAGGAGGCGCTGGGACTATTTGTTCGCCGCCTCTGGCCGCCCTCGGTCTTTCCGTGCGTCCGGGCGCTGCCTCCCCAGCTCCTGGGCTCCACGCGGCCAGCCACGCGCCCGGGGCTCCCCGAGCGCTGGGCCAGAGCCGGGACGGCCGGGGCGCGCGGGGCCGGTGCTGGCCCCCGGCAGGGCGGCCTTCCGAGGCGGCCCCTGGCGCCGGAGGGAGCCCTTCTCCCTGTGCCTCTCTCCCTGCCCAAACCCCCCTCCCCGCACAGACCCACACACACGCTCTCACAGCTTGTCGTGTTGTTTAAAACAGGTGGAAGACCTTTGTAATGATATTATGCCTTTCAATAAAAATTTTATGAGGTGTATTTGATTATAGATTAATGTGTCCCTAATAAAACGGACGGATGGAGCAGCTCGGAGGGCCCCCTCCCCCCACCACACTCACACACGCCGGTGCGGCCGCATGCACCCCCAACGGGAGGCTGAGCACACGCCGCGGCCCGACGGGTGAGCTGGGGTGGCCCCCGGGCTGGGCGCGACCGTGGCCACCGCGGCCCAGGCTTCTGTCTGCCCGCAGAAGGGCTGGCAGGAGGCGAGTCGGACCCGCGCGGACAGTTGCGGCCGGGTGCCGTGTCTTCTCCAGGACTCCTGCAAATGCCCTGCAAGAGAACACGCCACGGGGCAGAACCCAAATCCCAGCGCCAGGCCCGCGCCCGCCCGCCGCCCGACCTCGAGGCCAGGGGAGCCGCACCTCCCAAGGCAGGGCGTCTTCGCGTGGTTCCCACTTAGAGGCCTCCAAGTGGATGGCGGGGGTGTCTTTAAAATGGCCTGGTCCTGGGACCACTCTCATCCGATTTTTTTTTTCCTTTCCCTCCAGAGGTAAGGCTGGGCAGCCTTGAATCTGAGGGAAATGCCCATTGTCACTCCCAAATCCATGGTACAAAGCCTCGGAAGCCTGGCTGGGAGCGGAGACAAAAGCAGCTGGGTGCAGGCGGTGGGGGATGTGTTCCTTGCTCTAGAAGTTGCCCAGCGCACCCTGGGAAGGCTCGCAGCCCACCTGGAGCCCCGGAAAGGAAGGGGGTCAATGGCTTATGGCCTGATTGTCTTTGCCAATGGCTTTCTGATTTTGTTCCAGAGGCGCTGCCTTTGCCTGTAGCACGGTTCTCCTCCCAGACATGGCCCCCTGTCAGCAACTAATGGTGCTCCCCACATCGTGGGGGAAACGGAAAAGTTAAAATTGCCCTCCTCCTGCCCAACCAATGAAGGTCTGGGGCAAATTGATTCCAGTGTTCCTCACCTGGCATTCATTCAGACCCACTCTCTCCCACCCCCTAGGAAATAGCTCCCCTAAAAGGGTTCTGTCTTAGAACTGGGGAAGGTTCTTGATTTTGAGAAGGATGTTTAAAACTCTGAATAAATACAGAGTCTGCCAGACTCCCTGGGTGAGGGCTCTAACTCTCAGAGCCCCTAAAATATTGTTTTTAGGGGGAAAGGGGGCAGGGATGAAAAGAACATGTTTTGTGGAGCTGCTTGAAGCTGTTGGCGACCCTTTGAAACTGCAGCACAACCTGGGGTAACAGATTCTCTGTCAGCAATTCTCCCCAAGGCCTCTCTTTCCTTCTCCCTGGCAGAAGTAGATTAAGTCCGGCCTCTCTTCGGCTATGGATCCTCCAGTATATATACTGGTGAACGCTGGGGTTTTTCAAACCATGGCGGCAGCTGGAACAGTGGACTTCATGGGAAGTCATGTTCATTTGCAAATTCTCTTTCAGTCACCCTTTGTACATTTTCTTGCCCCCCCAGATACAGTGGCTCCAACTAGCATTTTGTAATTAAATAGAGGGAGAATTGGGGGGGGGGTATTCTCTTCCCTTAAAAAAATTTCATGTGGACCACTAAAAGGTAATGACTGAGCATAAAATCCTTCCACAAGGAAACTAGGACAAAGTGGATGGAAAAAACTCACCCATCCTCTGCTTCGCTGTGGCCTGGCTGTCTTGTGCTTGGGATGGGTGAGAATGAGGGAATGGGGGGCAGAATTGGATCCGATGCAATGCTAAGCTGCTGCTTGTCCTTGCAATGGAGGCCCCTTGGCTTCCAGGTGGGCAAGACTGGTTTCAACCCAGCCCCTGATGATGATGGCACGCCAGCCAGAAATTGCCAAGACCCACTGAAAGCATTAAAAATAACACAACCAAAACCAAAGAGAAAGACACATAAGTGGGGAGCTTTGAGGAAAAAGCAGCTTGGGCACAAGCTTACTTACTTACCAGGCTCGAGCTAGAGGGAAAATGATAATTCAATTCAATTAATGGGGGGCTAGGGAGAAAAGACTTCCCTTCTTCCCAACTATGGAAATAGCACCCCCCAACACGCACACACTGCCAAATTTCAAGACCCTAGGCCTCCTCCAGCTTCTCTCTCACATCCTTTTCCTTCTCTCTATCCCCCGAAACTTCCCCAAACAAGCAGATTAACAGGAAGATAATCTCACCAAAGGCTTTCATTTCCACTGTAACAAATTTTCATTTTAGAAAGCAGAGGGAGCGAACTTGTTTCCAGAATTTATTGCATTATACATGCGACCAGAACATGCACAGAATGGACAGGTTGCTGTTATACTCTACCAAACCACAGATGCACCACAAGGGAAAGGCTACAAGGCATAAGTCATCAATATTTCATCTCACCAAGGACAATTGCTAAATTCATTTGTGAAAAGATACATTGTCATGTGCTTTTTAGTCCCCCTCCCCCCAAAGCTTGTGAATTTTCTTAATCTTTTTTTAAATATATATGTAATTTAAGTACTTGAAGTACTGATGTATTCAAAACGCCATGGGCTCATGGACTAACCACACACAGACCTTTTGTGTTAGGAAAAACATGAAAAAAGTCACATTGCTGGATAGATGAATTGACTGATAAATGCTCTACAGTTCCAATAAGTTAAGACCCAAATGAAAATGCGCAGTAATAGTTACCCTGCATTACGATGAACAAAATAATAAATTACACGTGCTAGTTTTTAATATATATATGTATATATATACTCATAGGGATTACAGATCACTTGCAGCACGAACAGAATAACCCCAAAGTCACATTCTAGCAGGAAAACAAAACAAAAAAACAAAGAGCAAAGAAGGTTTTGTTTCCGCCTTCCCAGTCTTCCAGCACTGGGCCCTGGAATTCGGTGCCCCCTCTCTGATCCTGGCCTCCCACGGGCTTCGGACCTAAGAGAAGGTGAGGTTGGCGGTCAGTTCTCGGATCCGGTTCTCTCGGCTCATCTTCTTGAGTTTCATGCGGCGGTTTTGAAACCAAATCTTGACCTGCCTGTCGGTGAGGTTAACGCTCTTACTGATCTCTAGGCGGCGCTCGCGGGTGAGGTACATATTGAACAAGAACTCTTTTTCTAATTCCAGCGTTTGGTGCTTAGTGTAAGGGCACCTCTTCTTTCTGCCACTCTTTGCAGTGAGCCAATTGCTGGTTGGAGTATCAGACTTGATTTCCTCTAACAAAATTAAAGGGAGAAGAAGAAGAAAAAAAATCAAGAATTTTTTTTTTTTTTGGTCTCTCAGTCTGTTCAAATGTACCCTTGGCCATGACCCTGCAGGCAGCCAGGCTGCTGTGGGAAATACTAGTATTAAACATTACCCACATGAGGTGGGCCTTGGAAGGGATTAGTCAGTGATACCAGATTAGTTTAAATGCCCCAAATGATAGGATGGGCGGGGACCTGGCCTTCTGTGTCAGGGTTCTCCCTCAGCTTTCTGACCTGCATCAAACATTAGGACAATAGTAAACTTTCAGGGTCTCCCCAGCAACATTCTAAGTGGTCAGCTCCTAACAGGGCTGGAGTGGAAGAAGCAAGCCACAGCCTGGACAAGGCTACCAATCCCACTGCTGCCTCAGGTCTCCAAGTCTGCCACTTCTTCCCCACTTTCCCTAGGCAGGTGGGGAGCCACACAGCCAGGTCGATAGGTGCCCATTTTCCTTTAAAACATAACTGAGTACACCTTCTCCACCCTGCCCGGGCATTCAGAATTTCCTGAATTTTCATGCCTTCTCGCCCCCACACAAAAGCATTGCCCAGAAATGTAGCTCCTTAATGTGGCCCACCTTTAGGCACTGGAAGAGAGGCACAGGGACAGGGTTCCTTCTCCAAAAAACCCCCCCAGAGTCCCTGGCTCTTTGCCCTAGCCCAGCCCTAAGGCTGCCTCTGCCGGGTGGGCCAAGCAGATTCTATTCTCCCCCCTTCCGCCTTTGCCCCCTCTGCAAATGAATTGCAAAGCTCGAGGCACTTTCCCCAGACAAAGCCAAGGTTACCTAGCCCCGCAGAGGCAAAGAGCCCTTGTTTCCCCCGCTCAAGCGCCAAACAACCAAGCCATCTCCTTCCCCTGGCCGCCCCCAAGCTCGCAGGATGCGGGGTGCATACACTTAAACACGAACACGGTGCCTTGGACCACCTTAAAATCATAACTGGGTCAAAGTTGGGGCTGCAAATCTGAGCAAGAGAAAGGAGGTTCTGGGGCTGTGTTTATGAGCTGCAGGTCATTTGCGCTCTTTTGTTGCATTTCAGATCTAGCTCAGGAAAAATAAACCCAGCAAGCCCTTCCTCTGGCGAGACGCCATCAGCCTGGAGCCAGGACTAGCCAGGAGGGCCAGGGCAGCGGGGGAGAAGCGGGGATGAGCTGGGGACTGAGAATGCCCCCTCTAAAAGCTGGGAGGAGCAGCACCGGCCAATCGGCCCCGCCTGAGCTGCCAGGGCTCTGCGCCGGGCACCCAGGTGCTCCCTCTTTGCCGGGTTCCCGGGCTGCGCGCCCCGCTGGGGTGGCAACCTTGCTCATACCGACCTTTGCTCTCCTTCTCCTGCACTTCGGGACTGGACACGGAGACCTCAGCCAAGCAGCTCCTTTCTTCCGGAAGGCCACCCTTGGCCTCAGGGCTCTCCACCTGGGAGACTTTGGTGGGCTCCTGGCCGCTTGCAGGCTCGTTCATCTTCTTTTCCATCTGCAGCTGGGCGGCCGAAAGCTGTGGCTTGGCCGCGCCGCGAGGGTTGAGCTGGAGCATGACTGTGGAGCTGCCTTCGGGGCTGTTATTGTACTCTTGGGTTTTCCCGGTGGCGTAGGTCTGACTCAGTCTAAAATATCCAGGGACAGGAACCTCGGGGTTCTCAACGGGACAGGACTCAGGGACCAGCCTCTGGTACGAAGGGACCTCAGCAGAAATGAGTTTGTTGCGCTTATCAGAATACATGCAGCAATTGGATTCTTCCTTAATGTTGGTGGTGAAGGAGCAAGTGGGGACTTGCTGTGTAACAGGTTGCTCTATTCGACAAGATCTGTTCGGGTCTGTCCAACTGTCTACTTGAGGTATATAAGGATGCACATTCATACCCATATTTTGGTGGTTCACTTCTCTTTTGGCCAGAGACGGGAGCAGTCCACAGGTTTGCATTCCATAGGTCCCCATGTCTGCGCTAGGTGGTGGCATGTACATGCTGGCGCTGCTCGAATAAAAACTGTCACTCCTGCAGGCACTGATCAAGGAATCTACTAAAAAAGTATTAGCAGCAGGAGAGCTGTTGGGAAAGGACATTTTGGGGAGGAATTTGAAGAAGAGAGATTGTGTCCTTTGTAGGCTGACATCTCTAGGAAAACATTCCCCGTGTAATTGTGGATGCCTCTGCCGACCACATGACAACCAAGCCAATGAGATTTGAAAATGGCCTTGAGCCGCAGCCTCCTCGCAGGTCACGTGTTCCAGAGCCAGGCCGGCCGGCCGCGTAAGCACGGACAACAGCGACATCTACTATGCGCCAGAGATAGTGCGCGCTGGAGACCACCGGCCCAGCGCTCTCCGCCGCCCGCCAGCCTCCCGGCCTCGGCTCGGCCCGCCCGCCCCATTTGCGTCCCCCACTCCGGCCTCTGGGCCACGAAGGCGGAAGGAAAGACTCCGCCGGAGGGGCCTCGGGAGGACACGCGCGGGGACGGAAGCCGGAGCGTCGTGGCGCCAGCACATAGAAGCATTCCACGCACACACCCAGGCAGAACGCGCCCGTGAGGGCCGGGGCCGGGGCGCGGGCGGGGGGTGGGGGCCCAGGCTGGTTAATTTTGTCCCGGGCAGCCTGGGAAGGTGAGTCGATTCCCTGGGGCCTGAGACCTTCCACCCTACGAGTCCTCAGGAAAGATCTCCCGCGCAAAGACGCGGCTAAGGTATCCTGGGGAGCAGAGGCGAGAGGCCACGCAGCTGGCCGGCCCCTGAGGCTGAGGCTGAGGCTGAGGCTGAGGACCGCCCTCTCCTTCCGCCTGCCCGCCCGGGCTCCAGGTTCCTCCGCCGAGCCGCGTGCCTGCCGAAGAACCACACCCGACCTTTAGGGCTGGCGCTGGGAGCTTTCAAACCGAAGACAATCCCTCGCCGCAGTTCGTTATCCGCGAAAGCGTTCCCATCGGGAGAACTAAACCGATGTTTCCCTCCCCACACACCCTGATCATAGAGGGCAAAGAGGAAGAAAGAAAATAATTTTTTCAAAGACGGAGGAAAACTCTCGCCCTCAGACTCTAGAAGTTTTAGAAAACTGACTGGGCCAAACAAGAGAGAGAGAGATGCAAAGGTGTCATTTGGTTCTTCTGCAAAGAAAAATGTTTTCCTTTTATGGATTTTGTAAAAGCATTGGTTTCTGACAAGTGCAAGGTACAAAAGGTTGTGGAATTTATTAATACATATTAAGAAGAATCAGGGCGATCAATAAAATTCTCATCTACATTCTTGGGCTACTTGGTAATTTTCTTGCTTCTGAAGGTTTTTAAAGAGTTATACCCGCTGTTGCCACACACGGGAAGATATTTTATTAACAAATCAATCGAGACTTAGTAAAGGATAAGATTAATAGTTAGGATTTAGCATAATGGCGTTCGCTTTATGAATTATTGAAAATTATACTATTGATTTTTCCCCTTCGGTACTAACCAAGAAGGTCAATTTTTGTTTTAACACAAGTTGTCAAATATTAAAAGCTATACTTTTGTCAAAAGTAGAGTTTTATAGTTTTGGACAATTCCTCAAATTATTTGACACGGTTTTGCTTGGGTAAGAGGAGGGAGAGGAAAGGGAGGTGGGGTAAGAACCTTCGTCCTCTGTTTCCTTTGTGAGGGAAAGTTCTATAAAGAGGATTTGGTCTGGGCTTGTGGTTGAACTCATTAAAGAACACCACCATCACCGCCATGGAAACTCGGAGTTTTATGAGAAACTTCTCCAACAACTTCCTCTCTCCTTCTCTAGTTGCAGGCGGCTGAGCCACACTATGGAAGCTCCGGCCTCCAGGCAGAAGCAGGGAGCTTTCACCTTGATTCCTTCCCAAAGGCTTGCCCTGGCCAAGCCAGGTCGCTGGAGCTGTCCTCTGGCTTCCGGGTCCCCTTCACTGCATCCGAGAGAAGAAAAGGGCCCCTGGCTCTGATGGTGAGCCAGTGCTCTGTCCCGAAGGAAGGCATCCGTGTTTTCTTCTCCCCACGTTGCCCTGCTATGGGCTGGCCTTGGATTTCAGGCCTAGAGACTGAACTTGTGGGCAATTTGGGTTTCCGTCTCAGCAGAACAGTTCTTTGGCACCCGATGCTAAAGAAAGCACATCACCATTCTGGGGGCACCCACTTGCCCACTTGCTCCTTCACAGAAACCTTTCCCAACAAACCCTTTGTCAGCCCCTCCCCAAAAGGACTGTCCCCTGGCCTGGTGGAAAAGCAGGGGTTGGACATTATTTTCAGCCTTGGGACGGCTGCGCCTGTCCCCTCGAATTGCCCTCGCCCAAACAATAACCCCTTTTAAAAAACTGCGGTGGCAATGAGACAGACCTTTTAAACCTTTAAGCAGCTGTTCAAATACAACATCATTGTCAGGTTAAAAGCCTAGAGCCTCTCACTGCTCAGACTGCAGGATGCCCTGCCAGGGAAGCCGGAGGGTTAAACATTACATTACCTTTTCACAGGGTTGTCTGATTTTAAGCAGGGGGTGGGGGGGTGGGGGGAGAGGATGAAGAAGGCAGAAAAAAAACCCCAACTTTTTACTCTAGTCTGCTAAGGTCCTATTCCAAGCTAACAACCACTGATCAGCACCTTGAAAATTGCTTTCTTCAAAGGCGGAGAGGATCATCCCAGCCACGGCAAAACGTGCCCAGGGCTGGACAAAATGCCCGCTACACGCACGCTCGGCAGGCGCCCTGACGCCAGCCTGGCGCTCCAACACTGTCCCTTTCCATCTCGGCCAGGAGCTTGGTTGTCCAGTTCTCCCTACCCCACGCAGAAGGCAAGACTGTTCAGTCTAACTGGGAATCAAATGCCCTTTCATAATATTTGTTTACACATGAGAAAACAGCCAAGCTAAAGAACAACGATTCCTCATGGAGCGCAGTCTACCAGAGCAGGCGGAATCTGCCTTCCGATTTGAGAGCCTTTCTGTTTCAGCTCCCGGTGGCTTGGAGTTCAAAGTCACCCCCACAGTGGATTTGGTTTTAAATAAATCTTCTTCACTCACAGAAATAAAAAGTATATCAGATATAATTTTGAATTACCACAAAATTCGATTTTATTATTTTTCAAATCTCTGCCTTCAGACCAGCTCCTGGAGGCCAGCGATTGCCAATATTTCAAAGAGATTTTATCATAAAAATCAAGCAAAACAGTTTTAATACAAAGAAGCATCTGGGCAGAGGAGGATGCAAAGTTTGTCTAAGACCCTAAGGCTGAGATGCAGCAAATGGAGTGAAAAGACAGTGGCTTTCAAGGCCAGCCTTTATTTTGCTTACGAGTATTTAATATAGCTGCATTGCCACTGTTCTCGATCATCTTTAGATCAGTGGGAGCAGTTACCATTAATAATAAATCAATATTGCACCATCAAGGAGATGAATATCCACGCTTCTACCAAAACATCCTTCTCCCTGGCACAGCTCTTTCCCCGAGAAAAATTAAAAGGGTCGCTTTGTCAGGAAATTAGCATTTGTAATCAAGAAATGGTTTGCGTCTGTGCTCTCTTGTCACTGGGAAGAAGAGCAGGGGCCCTGGGCCTGAGTGAACTTGGGGGCCCCTCGGTTTGCCCTGAAGTTTGGGCCCTGTGTGGCCTGCACCTTTGGGTGCAGAGTAGATGGAGACAAATTTAAAAGGCTGCTTCCTTAAGGCGCCCCTCGGCGTTGTACTGTGCACCTCCCAACCAATGTGAAAAGAAATCAAGGGAGCAAATGGGGAGGCTGGGGAAGCCACCACCACCTGGATGAGGGGTCTGTGAAACCAGGTAAAAGAGCGCTGGGCCAGGGAGCCTCTTTCCCTTGCAGACACAAAGATTCCTTATTTAGCGCATTTCCCCTCCACTTCAAGATCTGAGACCCCAGAGACTCAAGACGCATGACCACCCTCCAGGAGCCCCATAACCCTGACCGATCAGGAGGGGTCAGGTCCGCAGCCCTGGGAAGTCCTGATCCAATCTCCTGGCCTTTTTCAAGTCCATCTTGGGAGCTACCAGGAGGGAAGGAACTGCAAACCGATGAGCACCCAGAACCCGGGATCTTAGGGAAGGCTGCCGGCCAAGGCCGAGGCCACCCCTCCACACACGCACCCCCCCCCCCACTTAAAGAAGAACACAACGACATTTGGGGAGGGGAGTTTTCACCCCAAGTGAACTGAGGCCCCGGGCTAGGCCCTGCGAAATGTCTCTTCAAAATATCTAGCTGGACCCACAGTCTGACAGGCTGGAGCCGGGTGTCCGCAGGGAACACCCATGCCTCTGGCTGGCGCCTCAGGGGGTGCTCATGGTGCCCCAGCCACCCTGGAGCCACCGATGCCAGCTCCCAGGGGTGGACCCAGGGCCCTTGGTCCAGGGTCTGGTCTGGAGAGACGAGACAGAGACAGCGGAGCCGGCACTAGTCCCGGGATTTCATGAGCTTCACAATGAACTTCGACGAAGAAGGGACAGTTACCCATCCTTAGAAACCCACGTCCTAGAGAACTCCCTTTAGGCCCAAGGCTGGTAACACAAACCCTCCCCAACGTCAGGGACTTCACAAAGGGGCGGGGTGGGCGGTAGAGAACGGCAGGAGGCAGGAAAATCAAATTCTGTGCTCAAGGCCCGCAGGCGGCTAGGAAGGGTGACCAGGAGTCTGTCAAATGCAAAGCCCGTTTGCTTCCTAGCGTTACCCACTCCATGCCGCCCGGGAGTATAAATGTGAACCAGGACCGCTGGCCGCTTCCCGCAGCCGCATCAGCCCAGCCTCGCCCGCCCCGGCGCCCCAACTCATAGTCCTGCTTGTGCCTCCCGGTTGCTGCCTCACAGCCCCCGAAGCTGGGCTCGACCTGGGGGGCAGGGGGCCTTCCTCGCCCAGAACGACCTCCCTCCTTAGTTCCGACGGGTCCCATCTTTTCTGGGACCACACTCAGCTACTTTGCTAGCGCCCCATCTGCCTTAAACAAAAGCCTTTTAATCATCTCAGGGGGTCGGAGAGCGCTCAAGACAGAAAGGGTTTTGGGGAAGGGGTGGTCCTGTCCTCGTATTGCTCTCTGCACGCAAACTAACAGGAATATTGATTTCCCCTGATTTAATTAACTCGCAGTGGCATGACCTATTTCGAAATGCACATATTAGTCTTTTCAAAACCTCTCCTAGACTCCGCCAGGTTATAACAAGGTACTCCTTGCGACATCTTTATCTTTAAAGAGACAACGATTAGGTGATCGCTATTTTCAGAAATAGGGGCAATTCCCTTTCCTCTGTCTTTATACAACTTCCAACATCTCATAGCTGCTTCGGACAAACAGCAAACGAATGCCTTAGTGGCCGCCTGTTTCTAATGGGGCTGAGATTGCCTATTAGAATCCAGTAACGGACAGATACGGTACCGCGGCCTCTCCGCCAACCAGGGCTTCTGGAACGTGAGCACGCCCCCGTGTGGCTCTCCAAGGCCATACAAATGGAAAACGCTATTTCTTGCCTAAGGTGTGGACATACAAGCTTGCTACATTTAGCCGCAATAAAAAAAAAAAAAAAAGGAAAGAAAAGATAGATGGAGAGAGAAAGAAATAAACCAGTTTTAAGCTCCTGGAACGATCATACTAATACTACTAGGGCACTGACATTTTAACGCACGCCCATAATTCCAAACAAAGGAATCCCTTTCCAAACGAAATTACTCAACTGTAGACTTTGTTTCTATTGCATCTTTCACCAAAGGTTGTAGGACGCTTTTGAAACAATATATTTTCTTTTGTTCCATGTCATAGAAAGTGCAATAATTTCTTTGACAAGGTGACAATTTTTAAAAAATATAACGAAGGTGTAAGTCTAAATAGAACTTCCTTTTTCAAATGCCTGCTTTTAAAACTGAGGTTCATTATTACAGCAAAGGAGACAACTACCTATGACTCCCCTCAAACCCCCCACCATTTTGTAGCTGTATTAAAAGCATGCTGATAGACATTTTAATCTAACTAGTGGTTTTTTTTTAAGTCAGTTGCCATTGAATTACACAAATGCTTGAAGGGAAATTAAGATTATTGATTCTGAAATTAGGAATTTGCTTAGATTTATGGTGAGCCTTCATATGATTCTGTGTGGTCATAAATGTGTGTGGGGGTCTGGATGTGTGAGCATGTGTGTGAGAGTGGGTGGCGGATGAATATCACAGAAGAACCTTAAGGCGCCTAATTATTCAGAAAGGTTAAAGGTGATGACCTTGACATTTTGGAAGTTCAAAGGCGTACACTTATGCACTTATGTTTTTCCTTGCCCCCTAAAGCTTTGGCAATTAAAAAAAAATTTTGCATTTAGAAATGCATGCTTCCTCAGAAGAGGCATGTGGTGCTGTATATCTTATGGATTTTTTTTTTTTTTTTTTACTTTGGGCTTATGAGAGGTTAAAAGTCACAAGATTCACTTTACTCTTTTCAGAGAAAGAGAAGCTTTTCTCACTCCTCCAGTTTATTGCACATTGCGGAAATCTCTTTTGGGCCCACCAGAAGGTGTATAATATAACCCAATTAAGCTGTTTAGAACTTTGGCTTTTATGGTGTTGTCTAGACAGTTCAAGGTTTTGTAAACAGCTTGGCCTGGTCCTGCAACATAAAGTGCAGTACCCCCCCCCCCCCAACACACACACATTCTTTAACTTGAAGCGATAAATGTGGAGAAAACTGGGTCTGCAGCCCTGGGCCCTATTTTAGGAAGATGGCTTATCTTCCTTGTTCCAAACCCGCTGTGACACCAGCAAGCGCCTTGAGACCTCTCTGCCCACTTATAATTTCCTTTCTGCAAACTTTTTTCCCCTATAAAGTGTTCTAATATTGGTTTCTTCTTTTAAGGGACCTTGTATCCTTGACACTTTGTTAAGAGTGACTTTGGATTTTCTAACCAGTTTTTTTTTAAATTTTTTGTTTTGTTTTGTTTGTTTGTGTCCCTCTCCTCCCCCTCCCCCCCAAATTCCAAGTTCACTAGACTAAGGCGGAGGGAGTGTTGCTACTTCCGTTCCTGCTGCCCCAGCTCATCCTCTGGAGACATCAGCACCAGGGTCACATCCTCAATTCAGAAAGCCATCCCTAAAATGATTTTTAAAACCAATGCCGCATACCAGTGGGGGGGTGGGATGAGAGGGGAGGACAACTCTTATTTTGACGGAATTAAAAAGCACTTCACTTGAATTTCAGTTGCATGGGGGAGAAGATTTTGGCCACTAAAATATCCTAACCAGACACTAAAATTATTCAAAGAGGAAAATCCATACAGTGTATTGAAGCTGTAACCTCCATTTTACTAGAAACCATTTATTCACACAAAAGACAGTGACTCGTGCCTCAATCGGACAAACCAAAGGTACATTTCCCAGAGTTTAAATAATCTGCATTCACCCAGGGGGGAGGACAGGGTCCCTTAAACTCAGAACAAAAACAAGTGCCTTGCAGCCCAGGCCTAACTCTCTACAGATCCCACAGCGTCCGCACCGGGACCTGGAGAGAGAGAGAGGGTAAACAACAGCACACTGGCGGTAAAATTGTAAAGGGACGTTTGCATTTACCATTTTCCCCATATTAGGATCCATTCGGCCAAGTCCCCGGCCTCGTCCGCAGGCAGCAGTGGTCGCTGGGAGGTCCCGAGTTGACCGTGGGAAGGAATGGTGGAGTTCCACAGAGAAGAGGCGTCATTAAACCCAAGGACATTGGGCCTACCGAAAGCAGGCTGGTGGGGAGGAGGGTGAGTGAGTGGGGCTTGGGGGACAGGGGTGCTTGCTGGAGCTCTCAAAACAAGGGATTTCCAGTGAAATACTGCAGACGGTCTCTGTTCAGTTTCTTTTCCTTCATCCTGCGATTCTGGAACCAGATTTTGACTTGCCGGTCAGTGAGGTTGAGCATCCGAGAGAGCTGGAGTCTTTTCTCTTTGTTTATGTACACGTTAAAGAAAAACTCGCGTTCCAGTTCGCGGATCTGGTACTTGGTGTAGGGACAGCGCTTTTTCCGGGACCGCTGGGGGGCTACTGCAAGGCAAAGAGACCAAGGGGTGAGAGAGGCCGCTGCCCGCCAACCTCCGCCCACCCTCCCGCCCAGGCCTTCGCGAGGGCCAGGCCTCGGCCCTTTGGGGACGTCCCCTGCCGCTGCTGAAAGGCCCTGCCTTCGTCGCGGGGGATGACATATGGGCGGGCACAGGAGAGTGCGGGCGAGGACCGGTGTTCACACCCTGACACACAGACAGCCTGGCACCGAGGTGGGGGAGCGGGGCTGCAGGCGGGCTCTGAGCTGGAACCCGAAGGGAGAGAAGCGCGACCGCGCCGGGCATCTGCCTGACTCCAGCCAGCAGCGCGCTTCAGCCAGAGGCTTGGATAAAGTCCAGGTCCAGGATCAACACCCCCACCCACCACCACCACCACCTTAATGCGGGAGGCGCGAGTGTCCACACTCACAAATGGGCTTGAAATCTCCCCTCCTTCGCGCCTCCCTCCACGGTCTCTAGCACATACACACCCCAACCTGGGAAAACGCTCTCTGCAGCGATTAGGGTCCTCCTCCAAGTCTACCTTAAGCCCACCTAAATTGGTTTCCTATCGTAAACACGCTTTACAACGGCCCGGGAAATCTTATAGGATGTATAAACCTCTTCGAACGCTTATAAAGTAGCACATAAAACGGCGCAAGCGGAGGGGAGGCCCCCGCGCCCCCCCCCCCGCGCCCGTGTTCGGGGGTCCTTTGGCCCATATAGGTCGCCCCCGCTCTCTCGATCGAATCTTGTGTTTCCCGAAATTCAGACCTGTCTACCAGTGGGGTACAGCTTGGGACAGATACCTTGTTTTTTTTTTTTCATTTTTCCTTAATAGGGGTGTGGGGTAGGGTATGGGATGTGTACAACCCTAGATGGGGTGATCAGGTT